CTGTGATAAATAAATGTCTCTTGTTGAAGTGAAAAAATAAAATCAAAACAAAATAAAAACCAAAACAACACCCAAGTAAACTCATTGTAAACTAATAGGTGGATGAGGAAAAACAGAAAGGCATGAAATTATTCTTTTTTCATTCTTACTAATCTTTTAATTAAATGAAATGGATTTCAAGATGAGTGAGTCTGAAAAAATTATCAGAGGTTACCTGCATTAAACCCTTTAGGCTAATGTTGATAATAATAATACCATAGAAGAACAATATCTTGAAAAGTCATTTTGATGTTTTTCACCTGTTACAAAAGCTATCATGCCATAATAATTTAGTTAATAAAATATGATGTTAAGCTAGTATATTTTAATAATTCTTCTGCATCATAAGAGTTTGGAGCAATTGAGTAAATATAATTACTGCAAAAAAAGAGTTGAAGCTATGGATTGATTAGTGTCTCCACTAGAGTTGACCCAGGAACTCCACAGCATTTGGGTGGATATTGGGCCATCTGGTACGCTGAGTCCATTTTAGGACTTCAGTCCTATTTTGATATTTGAATATTTTAACTATTCTCTCTGTAAGATGTCGAGTTTTGTATCTGTATCTAGGAAAGTCCAGGCAGGTCCTTAATTTGGGGAAGAGTGGGCAGGGAGTAAGAGTTTGCGTAAGTCATGGTGGAGCAGCTTGACTAGACTAACCCTCTCATATGACAGAAATTAAACTTTGGACAAAATAGTAAAAACTATCTAAAGGTAATGGAGAGTGACCAAAAGTATGTAGCAACTTGAGGGGAGTTAATTCTAGTAGGAAGGACTGATGCTGAAGCTGAAACTCCAATACTTTGGTCACCTCATGTGAAGAGTTGACTCATTGGAAAAGACCCTGATGCTGGGAGGGATTGGGAGCAGGAGGAGAAGGGGACAACAGAGGGGACTGGATGGCATCACCGACTTGATGGACATGAGTTTGAGTAAACTCCGGGAGTTGGTAATGGACAGGGAGGCCTGGTGTGCTGTGATTCATGGGGTCGCAAAGAGCTGGACATGACTGAGCGACTGAACTAAATTCTGGTAAAAAGGAAATCACATTCTTAACATTTTTTTTCAACTTAGGGCAAGCCCCAGGCAGTGCAACTAAGAGTCATTAACACTCATACAGAAACCTTACTGTTACTAAAACTTAAATCTTACTTGAGGAATCTGAGGACAGAGTTCAGAGCAACTAAATAGTGTAGAAATGAGGTGGAAATCCTGAAAAAAAGGAGAAAGTTACAGAGGGTAGCCACACAGCTCAAATCTCTCACTAATCTCAGGACTCCACATCCATGGGGCAGACTTCACGCAGCCCAGCTGAAACTAAAAGAATGAAAGGGAGATTTCAGTTGCGGCTCGGTGTGGGGAAGACAGAATTTGGAGCTTGAGATCAACCAAATTAAACAATATCAACCAATTACTACTAAATAATATCAACAAAAATTCTTCAGAGGGACAAAACAGAATCCAGTTTCTATAATGTATTATTCACAACATCCAGGATATAGTCTAATTAAATCAGACATATGAAGAACATACTAAAAAGGAAGCGCATGCAGTGGTGACTGACCCAGATGTTGGAATTAGTAGACAAGGATTTTTAAGGGAGCCATTAGAACTGCCTAAAAACAAAAACACCAAAAAAGACTTTTAATGAATGCATAGGAAATTTCAGCAGAGAAACAGAAATTTTAACAACAGAGCAAAAGCCACAGGAGGATCAAATGGATTCTAGAAGTGAAGAATAGTGTCTGATGGGTTTAACAAAAACCCATCCAAAAAAAAGTGATGGGTTTAACAGCAGCTTGAAGATGATAAAAGAGTGAGTGTCTGTGAACATGAAGATAGAAAAATCTTCAAGATGATCTAATCTGAAAATGTGTGAGCAGTCAAAATCGGGTGTGGGGAGCTTTTTCTTTATTTGTACTTTTATTGTATATAACCTATCTTTTCATAAATTTACTAGACTAGTAAGTCAGGGGAATGTTTGATCAGAGCGCATCTTTAAAAAAATTTTATTTGTTTTTGTCTGCACTGGGTCTTCGTTCCTGCGTGGACTTCCCTCTAGTTGCAGCAAGCAGGGGCTATTCTAGTTGCCGAGCACTGGCTTCTCATTGTGGCGGCTTCTCTTGTCGCAGAGCACAGGCTCTCGGGCATGTGGATTCAGTAGTTGCAGCTCCCAACTCTAGAGCACAGGCTCAACAGTTGTAGAGTAGGGGCTTAGTTGCTCTGCCGCATGTGGGATCTTCCCAGGTTAGAGATTTAACCTGTGTCTCCTGCATTGGCAGGTGGATTCTTTACCACTGAGCTAACAGGGAAGCCCAGAACGTATCTTGATTTTGACAGTGCTTTAAACAAAATTTCTCAAGATATGCTCATGTACAAGATGGAAAAATGTGGACCACATGGCGCTCTGTACATTCATTCTTGATCTCTGCCACTCTCCTAGACTGACTTCAGTGCTATAATGGGGGTTGTATAAAATGCAATGCTTGAAACAGGGAAGGAACACTCACCTGTTACCTGTGATTTTTTACTTACTTGTTATCCTCCTTCACTAGTATATAAACTCCATGAAGGCAGGAAGTGCCTATCTGTATCCTCCTAGTTGCCAAGACCTGAAATTAACTCCTGCTGTCTTGAACAGGGGCAGAAACTGGGTTAACATGAAGGTGAGCATGGTGACAAGAAATCCAGGAATGTATTACATTCAGAAATTCAGGTTAACAGAATGTTTGTTTCAGGGAAATCGGTCAGCTGGCAGCGGGTCCCTGGTGCCAAACTGGTGCTGGAAATAAGACTTAAGTCTCTTGTGTGCTCGGAGAAGGCAATGGCACCCCACTCCAGTACTCTTGCCTAGAAAATCCCATGGGCGGAGGAGCCTGGTAGGCTGCAGCCAATGGGGCTGTGAAGAGTCGGACATGACTGAGCAATTTCACTTTCACTTTTCACTTTCACGCATTGGAGAAGAAAATGGCAACTCACTCCAGTGTTCTTGACTGGAGAATCCCAGGGACGGGGGAGCCTGGTGGGCTGCCGTCTATGGGGTCGCACAGAGTCAGACACGACTGAAGCAACTTAGCAGCAGCAGCTCGTGTGCTTGGTTGCTCAGTCATGTCCAACTCTTTGCGACCCCATGGACTGAAGCCCGATAGGCTCCTCTGTCCATGGGGATTCTCCTATGGACAGAGAACACTGGAGTGGGTTGCCATGCCCTCCTCCAGGACATCTTCCTAACCCAGGGATTGAACCTAGGTCTCCCGCATTACAGGTGGATTCTTTACCAGCTGAGCCACCAGGGAATCTCAGTCTCTTGAGGGTAGTGTTTCTCCAGGTGTGGCTCAGAGGCCTGCTTCAGAATGACCTGGAGCGCTTGTTAAAAATTGGGGGGCTAATCGTAGATTTGTTAAGCCTGCATCTCTAAGGATGGGTCTTGGAAATCTACAGGTATCCTAGACAATTATTGTGTATATAAATTTATTTTTAGGGGTTGGGGAGCTCACAAAAGCAAGGGATA